GAGCATGCTCAATAAGAACTTGACACGATTCGTGCAGAGTCTTTTCTCGGTACAAAGCATATGTACCGTAAGAAAAGGCTCTGCTTGCAGGGTGCCCACTGGCCCGACGGCCCGCACTCAAAGCTCCGTAAATTCCACTAAAATGGTCTAATCTCGTCGAAATTGCGTCATGGCAGCCGTCGATAACTCTTCTTCCCATTCGCTTTCTCCTAAGGTTTCAAAGTTTATCTTAACGACCCGAGAATCGCTGGTTTTCCAGTTCTTGCTTTCCATTTCGGCTCCCTTTCGATCCGTAACCGATTATCTTGGCCACAGGATTTGAATTTCTAGCTTAACGACCTCGCCATCGTGACGAAGTCGCCTCCAACCGTCGAGAGGCACGGGACATTTACCTCACAAATTTAACTAATGGTTCTAAGAATTAGAACCCGTGCTACGCCAGATACGAAAAAGTGGCTGTGAGCCACTTGACTTGGAAAATAAATTATGAAAGGGTGTTATGAGGCATTGCTCATTAAGGAACTACTTGTGATGTGAGAACAGTCTAGCTTTCGAACAAGCCAATAAAGCCTTTTTTTCATTCAGGGGTGTGTTGCAATATTTGCAAAATGAAAAAGTTCAACGTTACAGAGTTCGTACCTTTTTTCAGAAACAAATTTCCAGGACTTTTCCAGGACTCAGATTGCTTTTTTCCAGGACTCACATTAACCCTTTCACTCCCAAGATCTTAATGTTAATTCTCCTTACTGTATGCCATTCATTTCATATTTTTTTTAACTTGAGTTTAACAGATTTCCAGAACTTTCCAGGACCAGTAGCCCTTTTCCAGGACTTTCCAGTCCTGGAAAATGCCACAGTAAAATTCCAGGACTTTCCAGGTTTTCCAGGACCCGTACGAACCCTGACGTTAAGAAACTGTTTGTTACTCAGGCCTGCCTACACGTTTTACATTACATACATCTGCGCATGTCTTCCCTGTGCTGTAGTAAAAAACGGCAAGATCATTTTGTTTCGTCAAAAGTGAGGTATAGAGTGAACGAAACACTTGAGCCTGCGGTACGTAAATAAATCATTTTGTGCTTTTGGTCAAATTAAACCAGTGATGTCTTTATTCGAGCATTTTTCACAGTCAAGGAAACTATAACATGCATGCTTTTACTTCCTCTTACAGCATTACTCTTATTAATCTTTCTCGGGGGTACATTTAAAGCAGAACATTTAACGCCCCTCTTTATATTGTTATTGTTGTTGTTAGTTCAAGCCAGTAAATTCAAATTTGACGCGAGATAAGAATGTATCTACTAACAGAATTAACGAATTTTATGATTCTGTGAGGTTAACCAAAGTCTCAGCTGTTAAATTGATGAGACCTGAGGACTCGTGATATGTCTACAAATCTCATTGACCAATTCTATGAACATAACAGTTATTAAATTTGTTTATGCTACTCCACTGGTAAAAGAAAAGAATTAAATCTAAGTGGCATATCGGGGTATTTATCTTCAATCTTTCAGAACATTATTTGGGAAATATGAAGATCGCGACTCACAGAAATGGGTCCTCTTTTAACCCGCGATGAAACACAAAGGCTTTCGACAAGCATTGTGGTAAAGTTACAAAATCATAGGATCATAAGTGAACATAATCCGGGAAATTTGATTCCAATTTACACAAAACCTCTCCAGGAAAAATTATTCTTCCTCCTCCTTCTAAAAGAGCAGGCCACAGATAACAAGCAATGTCCTCGCCAGGAGCTTCACCGAATCTCTGATCGTCTGTATTGCACTGAAATCTGGCCAGTTTGTGAACAGCTTTATCGAACTTCAAAGACTTGTATTCAAGCTGCAGTGGCGGAACCTGTGTTACCATTCTCCAGGCCAGGCGGATACACGCTTTTATGTAATCACTAAGTTGTGTTAACACCTCCTGGGCATGACATACTTGTACTGCTGGTAACAACTGTGTGCTTTCCTCTTGGAGATATCTATCCCACCGTTCCAAAACAATTTCTTTCACAACCTGAAAAATTATAGGAAAAATCAGTGCACTTGATTTAGCCAACTATTTTAAGGGGACGGGATTGAGAAAAAAGATTGTTATGTACGAAAGAGCAACTAGATTTTCCTATTGACTACAATGGCTGGTTTCACATGACGTCACCAAAATTCGAACTACAAAACTATTGATCTTCCTGAGATTTTACTTAAATTATGTATAAGAGCAGCTGAAAACTAATATTCATACAAATTTTCGCTCCGAATGGGTTCTTGGTTTTGTGATACACTGCGCTTGAATTTCTAAGCTTTTGCGTGACGCGGRATTTACATGACGGCCTAGAGAGCTGTCATGATGGTTTTAACCATCATGACAGCTAGGCTTTTGCGTGATGCGGCACTTACATGACGGCCTAGAGAGCTGCCATGATGGTTAAAAAAAGTGACRTATTTCGGGGAACTTGGCTATCMGAACAYTTCATGTCTTAGAAAAAGMYTTATTTTAATGTTTTAGAGTTCCTCGAGGGATAAATTCACGCTTTTGRAGCYAAACTCAGTGACAGATGTTTCTGTTGGTTTCCGGCCGCCATGTTGGTGCCCATACGGATGGGCACCAGCATGGCGTCTCCATACAAATCTCTATAAATTTGGGTAAAAAATTTCTCCGCATATCTCGCATAAGAAAAATTGCCGTGACCAGAATTTTGGCGAGAGTCTTTGCATATTTACCTTCTTTCATTTCCCAGATTCTGGACTTTATCTATTGACCGGTTTTGATTTTTACTTTGAGCTATTTTGAATTGCGTGACACTGAAAACAAGCAATATGTCAAGTCTTCCAAACAGTTATCGAAATGAAGAGTATCAGCGAAGCGCTTCCTTAAATTATAATTTACAGTCCGGTTAGGGCTCGTCTAGACTAGGAAACACTATAGCGGTTTAGACCACGCCAAATAACTGGCAAAATAACTTATTTCCAGGATCAGAACAATTCACTGTCGAATTAGCGTATTTCTTAACAGGAAAGGGCGGTTTTTCTGCCCTTCTCTAACATTGCAACTTGAGACAAGCACGGGTCAGCTTCACTCGAAGAAGCGTCACGTTGCCATGATCGCTTCTTAGCTATTTTGGTCATTTACTTTTTGTTTTTTCGCTGACTCATTATTTTTCCTATTTACATTGTTAAAATATTCTTACTGTATTCCTTGAAAAAGCCCCGAAGCACTGACTTTCTGTTCATAGTTCGGTAAAGTGCATTACTCAACCCAGACTTGCCACAAGTCCACCTTTTCTTAACGCTTGACTTATTTATCTCCCTCGAGCGAAGCGAGAGGGTAATCTTCGAGCGACGAAGTCGCGAGGGCGAGTGCGAGCGACGTAAGTCGCGAGAGGTCGACTTGTTTCACTCGCGGGAATGTGAATCAGAGCTTAAATTTTTGGCGCGAAAAACATGATTGACATTTCGCACTTTTCATGTGCTCCGCGCGCGATCGTCGCGAAAGCAGAAAATGATTGCCATCAAAACGTTTACGAGAACTAGTACGTTTACAAATATATTCATTTGAGCACCTAACTCAAATGAATTTATTTGTGTACAGTGCAGTGTGTAGTCAGCAAACGGCAAAAGTCGCAACGAACGGCAGAGAATAAAAGCGCTGTGCTCAAAAGTCCTTCATCGATCGACGACTGCTTTCAACACGGTAAAGTCGGCAAAACGGCCGATGCAAATTTGCTGCGATACCCTTTCTTTGTAGAGAAGAAAATTGGTCATTCACTAAATCAACTAAAAGTGCAACAATTACACAGACTGCAGGACTGCTCTGTTCTCCATTGAAAGGTCCTAAAACGATCAGGATCACGCAGGAGCTCCGTCCGTATTAAGTAAACAAACACGTACTGGACGGATAAAGAGCCTTCCACTGCTTTTCCCTGTCCTTCTTTCAAAGTCTTGAAATTAAGTTGGATAGACCATATTCAATATCTTCCATAAAATTCATATCCTTGAGTATATCCGAGAACAAAAGCTAAATGAAAAAGATTTTTAAAGTACTTGAACTCAGCAGACATTTGTTCCGCGAGTTATGTCGTTGATCGCGCGCGACGTCACGACGTATAGTCAGTACTTGTTTGTTCATTGGTTAATGTGTATTTACGTCACCGGTGGAAAATCCACCGGTAAAATTTGGCGCGCTGCAAGTGAGAAAAGTCCTTTCCAACGGCGAAACCCACAGGCCAGGGAAAGACTTTTAGAAAGTCCATACTCAACCTGGCAATGACGTCGTCTTCGTCGATCTGTAAATTGAAGGGCAAGTATTACTAAACAATATATGTAAATGACTCTCCTGCCTCAAACGTAAACGCGAGAAATGCAAAAAATAACGAATAAGAAAACATCCTCTTGCGCTTGTGCTTGCGTTTGCACCGAGCATAGGCACGTGTTAACGCAAGCATAACTACGATCTTCCAAACTTTTATATGATTGTTAATTGTCATGAGAATTGTCGTTTGTTTTGAATTTATACGCCACAAACTGTATTTAAGATGCTATTTTACACTAGGCAAAAAAGTTTAAAAACTTAACATTTTAACCTTGTAAAATGCGAAAATTATGGACAAAAATTGCACAGTCTTTTATTTCATGACCACATCGATCTGTTAGTGAGTCAAGATCGTCTGGAGTTTCGCGAGAGAAACTAGGCAAGTCCAGCTTGTACATTTCCGGATTTGATAATCATAACAGGTCCGCTTTGACAGCCATCTAGTATTAGTATTGTTGATTAGTAGAATTCTACTAGTATTCTAATGTAAATGCTGCAATCTGATTGGCTAAGCTACTCGTACACTATCAGCCATTATAGTTCACCACTAAATTTTCTCCGATTGCTATTGGTTTAAATCGATCACGTGACGCGATAGTGTTCGTCCGCGGAGAGACACTATCAGCTCATAGTGCCCGTCCGCGGAAAATACCCGGATGGATAGTACTCGTCCGTAAAACTTTTTCTGTAAACAAGCGGGTTTATAGAAAATAAACAATTTAAACTGTATTAAGTGGGTTTTTGTCGGTTTTCTTTTTCAAATTTTACATTTGGCTTTCACGGCTTTCATCTGAAAGACTTGAAAAT